TTTTTTTTTTTTTGGCGGCACTAAGAGAACCATGCTTTTTAGAAAGTTTGAATTCATTCCAACTTTATATAGTACATCAACTATATATTTGGAAACATGTTGACCAACTACAAAAGAATTCAGATTCAGGAATTGTCCAGGTTTTTGAAGAATTAGTTGGTAATAGAACAGAGAAATTAGTAGCTTAAAGATAATAGAGCTTAATATTGATATTTCCAAGCTGTTTCATTTGTTTATTAAAAGAAAAAATGATATCCACATGTCTTTTAAACCTTAATGGGGAAAGCTCAGGAAAGCAAGGGAAACTTGTACAACAGGAAGAAGAAAAGAAGGATAATCCAAAGCAAGAGGTTGACGGGAAAAATGTAGCAGCTTTTGATGCAGTAATCAAATGACTGAGCCAGTGTATGTATAGAAGGTTACTATACATATTTAGAATTTTAGAATTAGGTATATTAAGGAATAGAATTTAATTGAAAACAAAACAAAACACTGAGGCCTAGGGATATAGCTCAATAGTAGGACTCTTGCGTAGCATGCCTGAGGCCCATGAAGCCCTGGGTTCAATCCCTAGTACCACAAAATAAATATGTCCTAGTTGAATAATGCCAAACATATACAAAGGACAATGAAGTTAACATCCTCCCCTACCAGTTTATATTTTAAGAAATGGGATGATGCAGTATGCAAAAAACAATCCCTCAGTGGAGACCTAAGTTTCTGTCTTATCTGTGCTACTAATTCTGAGTCTTGGAGTATATCACTTAAATTGCTTGAGTTTTCTTTATCTTCAGAGTAAAAGTAAAACTACCTTACCTCTTAAGGCTATTCTACTATGAAAAAGAACTGGGGTTCTACCCCATCTCCACCGAAAAAACAAAAAACAAAAGAGGTCATGTGTGAAAAGCTAAGTAACTTATTTTACTGCTCTTAGTTTTTTGGAGCTTGAAAGGTCCTGTGGAGGGGAGTTTGTGAATTAAGTTTGTTTAGCTTCTAGGATGTAATAATATTTCTGTAACTTTAGTAAGTGTATGCATTTAATAAGTTAAGCCTTTTTAAAGATGTGATGTAGAAACTACAGAATTTTTAACAGTGCAATGAGAAATGGGGACATGGGCGCATTCAGCTTGTTTTGTTTTAGTTTGAGGAAAAAGTCATATGATAACATAAATGTACTTTTTGTTTTGTTTATGAAGAGAAGAGAACTGATAACAATGGCAGAGTATATTTTGTCAACCACAACACTCGAATTACACAATGGGAAGACCCCAGAAGTCAAGGGTAAGAACTTTTAGTTATTAAAAGTTATTAAAAGATTACCTATTTCTGATTCATTTATATATTCTTTTCCCAAAGGCCTTAAGTATTAACCACCTACATACTTTGGGAATAGAAAAATTACTACTTTTGTGTAAGAAAAAGATAAGATTAAGATAAGATTAAGATTTTCTTGAGAATAGGAAAAAAAACTCACTCATACATGAGAATATACTTACATTAAAATATTCACATATATATGTGTGTATATGCTAGTAGTAAACCAGATTAGTAATTCTGAAGCAGGGTTTCTTAATCTGGCATAACTGGATAGCATTCAAGGTATGTGACCTAGGGGACAAAAAAATACAAGTTGGTTACACTGACCTGAATCTGAAATTTATTATGTTTTTCCATTATTAGTAGAATTAGTAATGCTAGAATTAGTAATGCTTAGCATTTTCTTTCCCCAAAGGCCTTAGTCATTAATCACCTATATACTTTGAAAGAGAAAAAAAGTTTCTTGAGAGTAAGAAAAATCTGAATGATTTTTTCGTACCAATAAAACATACAGGTTTTTTAAAGTATCTATAGTTGTTGCAGATATCGCAAAATACTGTTTACAGACATCATTATAAGAAGTTGACATTATCATAAGTTTGGTTTAATGTCTTGATAACTATGTACAATTGCTTGTCTTTTTTTTTTTCAAAGGAGGTTTTGGGTTAAAGAGGATAAAATGAATATATTTGAGGGTTTTAAAAAGTTTATTCGTTTATTCATGTGTATACATTGTTTGGGCCATTACAATTGCTTATCTTAATAAAATTATATGTTAGTCCACTTAATTAGTTTGCTAGGGCAAGTTTAACAAAACGCACCACAAATGGAGTGGTATAAACAACAGAAATTTATTATCTTAAAATTTTGGAGACTAGAAGTCAGAGACAAAAGTGTCAGTAACACCATGCTCCCTCTTTTTTTTTTTTTTTTTTAAACATACTCCCTCTTAAAGCAGTAGGGAAGGACCTGTTCCAGACCTCTCTTCTAACTTTTTTTAGTTTCCTGGCTTGTGTCAGTCTTCATATGTTTTTATTCTGGTATATGACTTTCTCTAAATTTCTTCTTTTTATAAGAATGTCAATTCTATTGAATTAGTGATTCACCATACTCTAATATGATCTATTCTGTTTCTAAATAAAGCCACATCCTTAAGTACTATCGGCTAGGACTTAGATTAAGCATTTGGAAAGGAGGCACATTCAACTCTTAATAGTCTGTAATACTATGTCTTTTATCAGACTGCCAGTAGGTTACATTCTGTAAAGTGTTTAGCAAAATGTATAGTCAGTTTAGACATTAACCGCAAGTTTGATTGTCCTAAGACCTCTCTTACTTCAGACCAATTAAGCAGATTCTGCCACAACTGCTCTCATATAGAATAATTTACTAAAGAGCCATATATGATGGTTCATACCTAAAATCCCAATACTTGGGAGGCTTAGGCAGGAGGGATTGCAAGATCTACAGCAGCCTAGGTTGCCTAATGAAATTCTGTCTCAAAATATGTATAAAATTGCCTGTGGTTTATACCTATAATCCTAGCTACTTGGGAGGCTTGAGACTGGGAGGATTGAGGTTTGAGGACAGCCCATGTAAATAGTTCGAGAGACCCCCATCACCAAAATAACCAGAGTAAAATGGCTTAAGCAGTAGAGCACCTGCTTTGTAAGCATGAAGCCCTGAGTTCAAATCCCAGTGCCACCAATACTTTGTGTGTGTGTGTGTGTGTGTGTGTGTGTGTGTGTTTGACTAGATAACACTCAGAATTCACTGAAACCTATTATACTCACAGTCACATTTATTATAGAGTTAGACTATAAAGTAGAACCAGAAAGAGGAAAATTTCATAGAAAAGAGTCTGAAAAGGTTCCAGATACCCATGATTGATATAGAATAATACACACTTATGTTGAATATTGCCAACTAGAAACTTTCTATATCCAGATTTTTTTATTTGACCTTGATTACCTATTGCCCCTTTGGCTGACCTTTTGTCTTCATCTTTTCTTTCATCCCCTATCCAAGATTGGGTAAGTCCTGGCTTGTTGTTCTCCAGGAAACAGAACTGATGTCACATCTCCTAAGCCTCCTTCATTAGTCATATTGTTGACTGTCCATTGGTCAAAGCCTCCAGAAAAAGAAAAGCACTCATAGTAGTCACACTCCTATTGGCAGATCACTTTCCAGTAGTTGAGGACAAAGATCAGATCTCTTTTTGTGTATGATTAATTCTTCACAACACATACTCCATTATTCAAAAGTTTTAGTAGCTTATGTTTTAAGGTATGATTCAAATTTGAAATATCTATCCCTGAGCAGACATGGTGACGAACTTCTGTAATCCAGGCTAAGACAGGTGGATCATGAGGTCAAGGCCACCCTGCTCTATATAATGAGACCCTATCTCAAAAAACCAAAACAAATAACATCTATTTCTCATACTAACAAATGCTGGTATTTGTAGTGCACTTATTGTATATAACAAATATATTTTATAAAAAAATTTAAAGTTTTTAATTCCTCTCTAAAATTCTGTCTCTGGAAGTGAATGTAGGTCAGTGGTATAGTGCATGAGGTCCTGGGTTTGATTCCAAGCACTGCAAAAAGGAAAAGAAAATTCTGTTTCTTGAGTCACCTTTTTGTAATAAGTACAAATGAGCTGGTTCTTGGTACTGAACAGAAAGCAACCTCTTTTCTCCATTTCTGATAATTTTATCAGTTATATGAATACAGTTAAATATTCTTAACCTTTTGATGTAGTTTACAAAATACTGATTCAAGACAATGGTATTTCTTACTCTTCTCAATTACACTTGAGGAAAATGACAATCCAAAGATCAACAGTGACTCTCTTCAGCAGTGAGCCTGAATGCCTACAACCCAGACAGTCTTTTCCAATGTGACCTTAAACATTTCCATTGTTGTTGCTCATAACAAGCCTACCAGATGAGAAAATTGAAGCTGTAAAAAATAGAAAAAAATGAACTGGCACACATGAATAAAATTTTCAACATTTATTATACCTAACCAACCAAAAATACTGGTTGCCCTAATGTCAGAATACAAAAAAGATAGCAAAAGAGGTTTGCAATAGCTCCCTACTCAGTTGTATAATAATGTGAAATGTAAAAATATAGTTGTTAGGTTCACTAGTGTTTTTGTAAATACTGATATCTCAGTTATTTAGTGTATAGCATTTTAAATCACTATTGCCTTATAATCTAGTTCCTATTCTTTTTAAAACTCATAATATTTGTAAAGTAGAAAGTTACTACTATCACACAACCTGAAATATAATAAATGTACTAGCAGTATTCAGGAAGTATTTCAGAGAGACTTGAAGACAATGATCAATCTATAATAGTAGGAAGATGAAGAATAATTACAATTTGAGGGCTTACTTTAGACTAATATTTTTACTTGTGTATTTCCCAGATAGTCTCTTTACATAGACATTGTTTTCTCTGTTTTGTGGATAAAGAAACCAAAGTTTAGAGAGATTACCCAGGATCACAGAGGTTTCAGAGTAAAAAAAAAAAAAAAAAACTATTAAAAAAGGGGAGGCCTGGTGTAGTAATCTCAGCTTCTTGGGAGGATGGTGTTAGTACAATTGCT